ATTAAGAGAACAAGTTTATATCCTGAAGCAATAGTCATACCACCTAAAACATTTATAAGAGCCTTAGAAAATATGAAACTGACACTGTTAAAATGCTAAAAATAATTTCAGATTTGATAACTAACTACGTTATATTCAAGAAACAGTGAAATTTAAAAATATCAAATTTTATGTGACTTTCAATAACATCAGTAATCATTATACAAGTCTTTCTGTAGATATCAGAAATTATCATATATATGAACATCATGTAAAAATGGCTGTGAAACTTGCAAAAATTAGAAATGGCATACCCAAGAATCCCTTAAAGTTTCACTGTGATCTGAGGAGAGAAAGTTAAAAAATTTACATCACTGACAAACATGTATATATTTTATCAATTTGAGAGATCATGGGGCTGATTTCCAAGACCATTTTGGCATTCAAAGCACCTGGATTAGTTGGTTGAAGCATCTTCCTTATAAATATTCATGTGTTAAGCTTTTACTTTAGTAAAATTTCAAACTGCACAGGATATTATTCAGTCCTTCTGTAATTAAAACACTGAAAATTTGTACTTTCAATCAAAAAATGGCCATACACTGATTCTAAGCTTTGATAGCTCTGTAACCAAACAAAATTGAAGGCTATAAAAATTATGGTTCATCTGAGCAATGACAATTTCATAGTGAGTGATTTATGTTGAATTTCAAAATTTTTAAGGGGGGGGGGGATTGTGTGGATAAAATAGAGAGGAGAATATACCCAGAGAAAATGTTACATTTGTCAGAATTTTTTTAAATATTGCCTTATAGAATTAAGAACTTAAAACACATATACTATGGATTATTAGCTTAGATTTTATACTATACTAATTGCTTTAACATAAACAAAAAGTAGTTTAATAAAATTTTAAATGCAAGTCACTAAAATCTTGTGTCATGTGCAGTAAAGGATACCCAGGGTGATAGGGGGCATAACTCACTACATTCCGAGTTGCTGAGAAGCGATAGAATTTCAGGAGATACCCGAGCAGTCTCTCCCTCAGTTGAGCTTTGGTCAGTGTAACATGCATTTTTCATTATTTGTTTCTGTGTATTTTGCCTAATTTATTATTTATTGTGTTCTAAGTGTTATTAACCCTTACAAATATGGCATCTAGAAGTTATAGAAAGGGGTTGAAGTTAAAATCCCTTAGTCTTAAAGAAAAGATTAAAGTTTTAGAGAGGATGGATGTAGGTGCATCAATGCATAATGTTTGTGAGGAGTTTGGCATCAAAACAAGCACATTTTCTGATATTAAGAAAAGCGGGTACAAGATTAAGGTTCATGCTTTAAGTTTGGAGGATTCAAGCAGTTCAAATAAGACCCAGAAGAGGATAAACCCTGCTAAATATTCCAACTGGGATCAAGCAGTGTACAAGTGGTACAAGCAGGAGCTCCCTTCTGGTATTAACATACGAGGTGTGGACATTCAAAATGCTGCAGCAAGCCTAGCACAGGACCTGAACAATGAAGGCTTTACAGCAAGTAGTGGCTGGCTGTTCCACATTTGGGCTCGTCTCTGCTTAGTGAATCGAAAAGTTGCAGGGAAGTCAGCAAGCTCCGATCACAACAGTGTTGAGCCGTTAAGAAAGTGGGTAGAGAAAGTTATGGGAGATTTGCAACTTCTCATGGCCCAGTTATACAACAGAGATAAAACGTGCCTCTTCTGGAAGGCTGTGCCTACCAACACACACAGGCTGTTACGTACAAGTCCCACATACCTGGTAGAAAGATGGTAAAGGATTGAATCTCCATTCTTTGCTGTGCAAATGCAGACAGCACCCACCAACTGCAACCAATGATTGTGGGCAAGGCAAGGAAGCCAAGGGCACTCAAGAACATTATGAACTACTAGGAGAATAAAACTGTCTGGTTTACTCGAGAGCGGTTCCACTATTGGTTCCAAAGCCATTTTATACCTGTCATGATCAAGTACCAGACTGATTTCTTGGGTGTTACAAGAGACAACGTGAAGGCCATCTTTCTGCTTGACAATGCCCCTGTCCATCCATCTTTGGAGGAGCTTGAGGGCCATGGGGGCTGTATCAAGGCCATGTTCATACCTGCTAACACCAGTGCCTTGATTCAACCCATGGACCAAGGAGTTTTTGAAGTCTGTAAGCGACACTACAGGAAAAAGCATCTGGGAGAGTGCCTTGTGATGTTGGAAAATGAAAGTGACAAAGATAATGATACAAGGGGGACTTGCACTTTGGAAAACTTTAAAATGTACAACATTCGCAATGCAGTGTTCAACTGGGCAGAGGAATGGAAAATCCTCGGTGTATCAACCCTCAGTAATGCATGGAACAAACTCTCCAAAGACTCTGAGGTTGAGGTAGACTTTGTTGGGTTTGGGACTGAGGACTTTGTGAACTTGCTACACTGAGGTGTCAGAAAATGACATTGTGGAGTGGCTGGAGAAGGATAGTGAAGATCAGGACTTTTGTCATGATACAGTGGAAGAGATAGCTGCTAGTGTCTCTCAGAAAGGCACAGAAGAGCCAAGTGATGACAGTGAAGATGAAGACCCCATTCTAAAACCCAAGTTATCAGATCTTTGGTTATACTTGGACAAGGCCTTGGAGGTAGTTGAGCAGTTGGTTGCCTGATTTGGAACAGCACTATGCAACTTTGAGATATCAGAGCAGATGTCAAAAAGTTTCAGCACAGCAATTACAAACAGGGGAAAATATCTGTCAAAAAAATAAAAAAAACACAGACGAAATCTTCCTTCCACCAGTAGTGAAGCCTCCATAGGTCTGCCTGCAGCATCTGGATACTCTTCCTCAGACACCAATTCCAGCAGTGCCAGCTTCTTTCGCATTACCCCAGAACCCCCACAACAGTTGATGTCTTCAAACAGTGAATAATTTATTTAATTAAATTAATGTAAATAAATTAAGCTGTAATTTTCGAGTTAATAATTTAGTGTATTCAAATAATCTTTATTTTTTAAGTGATCATTCAAAATGTATTTACCAAAGTGCATTAAGCCTTCCTACAATCACCTCTGTCACCTACCACATGGCACCATAAGCTTGTATCATCATCTTTCTTGGCCTGCAGTGCTGTTAAGTGTTAATTTTTAATATTTTTTTAGATTTATTTAATTTATTTTCAAACAACAGTAGTGTATAGTAGTTTACTTGGGCAAAAAAAGTTGTGATTTGGGGGTGGAAGGAAATTACCTCAATAATTCAGAATTTTTATTAACTCGGCATGGCTTTATCCCCATATGTTCAGAGTTATCGAGGGATTACTGTACAAGACAAATGAAAATTAAATATATATATATATATATCTTTTATTACATATGGTTAAAAGTAGATATCTCTAAACATTACTTACTTACTTATCTTCAGTTCATAGTCAATAACAGTTCATTGAACAACTGAGTTTAAAAACATGTCAATTAAGTATAACATCAAATGGGAACTGCTGTTTATTTCATTTATCTTTTTCAAGGACATAAACCCATTGTTTATAGTGGTAGATGTCCTTGTTTCACATAGTTATACAAATACATTTCTCTATAACTAAAAAATGTGTAACTTTTGAAATGTTCAATTATTAATAACTTGAATATGCTCGACTTACTTAGTAAGAGCATGTAAAAAATTCAAAATACTTTTTGTAATAATGGTATTTTTCAAGAAATGAATGATGTAGGAGTTTTTATTAAGCCTAAAATACAGTTGCACACAGCTTTGTTTTTGAAAATCCTGACTTTAATGAGCAGATTCTGAAAAAATATTCTGATGCATCTTTACAAACATTCATTGATAACTGAGCACACATACTATTACAGTTTATGTTGAAATCATGGGTATATTTAAGATACCTTAACATGACTAACTAATTTTAAGTTTAGCATAAAATAGCTTATTTAGAAGGTCATTGAAAACGAATAATACCAGTTATGCAACTAATAAATGTATAACACAGCTTGCTAACCTATACATCTTGCATTTGCGGTCTATATCTATAAACCACCTGCAATAAAAAGTAGTATATAATTCTATAGTGCCACTATATTTACATTTATTTTATAGACCTCTATACTTCAATAAAATATAGCTAATATATATATCAGTTTGATGCTATACTACAATGAATTCCAATGTGCCAGTAATATAAAAGTCAAAATCCTTGAAATATTTTTAAATGGTTAATTTATCAAGCTCCTGTACTGATTACAGAGAAGTTTCAGGATTCAGAAATCAATGTTTTCAACTGTCAACACATACTAAAGCTAGCACTGCATTTCTCAGCAGAGACATTATTGAATCTTTCTATAAAAGTGTCTAATCAAATTATATCTAAAGAATTTTACATAAATGATGTATTTTTTTTTCTATAAAATCAATCATACTTCCACTTTGTTTTTGGTTGTATCTAGGTATACGAATAAGAACAGCAATTTGCATTAACTTTCACGGACACTTTAAACTAATTTCTTCATTAAACATTATGAAAGTTTTTCTTTTCTTTTTCATCATATTGTAGAAATGTCATCATCTCCCCTCTCTAACTTGCTGGTAATTGTATGCAGACAGGTTATTTCTTTGTGTGTTATAAACCAGGCAAGAAGTGCTTGAATCATCACATTTACCCCAAACTGAGGAAGACGTGCAGCAGTCAGTTTCTGATACAACCTAAAAACTTCTCTAGGTGAATCTCTTATTGATGGTAAAGGATAAGTGAGGTAACGTTCAGCAAACTGAAAGCATCCGAGAGGGGCTAAAACCATAGGATAGAGGGCACCAATGGTAACTTGTAGTGCCATAGCTTTAATTTGTACACACAGTGAGCATGGAGTTTTACCAATCAAAATATCAGAAGTAATTAATGTAGAATGAAGGATAGGAGTCAACAAGGATGGAAGTACAACCACAGGAATATAAGTAGACATACGAGCACAATTACGGAGTTTCATACACTTTCTGTAATAATGATTACAGTAAAAACCTCCTGCTCCAGATATTGCTGAGATAAGAACCTGTCCATATGTAAAAGGCCAACTATGAAAGAAAATAATTCAATATGTGAAATTGTACATGAAAAGCAACATGTGTTCAAATTAATTACCAAGTAAGGTATAAAAATTTTGTAGTATATCAGCAAATTTTAAAGTACCTAGAGGCATCAAAATAAAGCCTAATACTATGAAAATAGACGTATCATTTTAAATAATAAAAAATGAATTAAGAAGTGACAATTAGGCACACTTCATTTAGCACTTCAATCAAAGGGGTTCATCTTATGTAGTTCTCTATCTCATCGAAGTTTGTCTGCACAATATTACAAAGGAAAATACATTACAAAATCAGTAAAACTAAGCAAAAACCATAATTTAGTTTTGAGATAACACAAGAAAGCACCTTAACAAAAGCAAACTATGATGGGAAAGCCTTAAAGGCCTATTTAAATAACAAATATGTATTTTGGAAATGTTTAAAATGTATGCAAACAGGTAGTGGACAACTTAAGCACTTCATTTGTATTATTATATCACAAAAACTTCTAAGATGCAAAAAAATACAATAAACATTTAAACTTTATGCATATAATGTACACATTTTTTCATACTCATCCACAATCTTTTAGCTTTTAAATACTTTTCATAATTCTAAGTTTCATCAATAGAAAAACAATTGTATACAAAACAGCCCTAGCATACTTACTCGGTTTGTAACTCATTAATTTAATTATAATAGTTAATTAAATAATTAATTTAATTATATTAATTCTTTAAAAATAATTTATGCATTTTCCAGTAAGTCCATTATACTGTTTAATTTTGATTATTATGTAGTTTGAATTTATTAATCTTATAAGAATAGTTAGTTTCAATGTCTGCAAAGAACTACTGATGGCTTTGGAACCACCAGTACTGGGACAAGTATAGGTATATAAAAAAAAAAGATATTTAATGAGTACAAACACTTCACTTCGTGGCTTCCAACTGTGAACAAGCTGTAACCGTGCTTGAACAGCTTCCTCTTCTGTTAAGATTATAGCCCCTTCAGGAACAGACCCTCTTTCAAATTTTACTATATTCCTGGGGCTTTTAGAAGACAAACTTTCCATCTTGAGATCACTTTGAAATAATATCAAATAATCCAACATTTCAGATTTACAAAACTTCATAACTAAATGACTAACAAAAAAATTCAAAATAAATTTCCTTAAAATAATATTACTCATTTCAACTACTAATTCACCTATCATAACTGTAATTCTGTAAATATTAAAGTCTTTACGAACAAGTCTACAGAAACATTTTAATTTAATGATTAAAAAAAAGCAAATATTTATAAATTTTATGTAAAATCTTTATATAACTTGATATTTTGTAGTTATAGTTTCAAAAATATTTTTCAGAAGTATAGATTTTTATTCTGTACATGTATCAATACCTCCAATTTAATAGTAAAGAACTTTTGAGGATGCATAAAAATTATGAAAGGAACAACTATTTCAATGAAATAAAATCATTGTCATATTTTAAAGTTTTTGAGCTATTTTACTTACAAAACTATTTCTAATATTGAAATTTGAATGTGTATTATTTTACTAGATGTCCCTAAATTTTCAATAATAAAGCACAGTTTTATCTATTTTTTTAACCTAACAGTGCTTGTGAGATTGTATGTTATTTTATACTTGTGGATTTTATCTTTTACATCCCCTACATGCAGGATTTGAGCCTTGGACTCACCTGAGAGTTCTATCAATACAGCTAAAGCCAAAGGATTAACCCATTACTAATTACTAGTAAGACTCTTTTTAACAGCTCCATCTACCACATTCTTCCCCTCTCACAAACAAGGCCCATCTTGGTTCATATCTTAATGTCATGGGACAGACACTAATTAAGCATCAGTTTTTGTTTTTTTCCTTTGGCTCAGAATCAAACTCAAGAACTCTCTTATGGCAAATGAGTGTTCTACCAATTGAACTAATGATTGAATCCTTTAGCACAAATAATAAAGCATTGACGAGTTAGTTTCTTTCACAATTTTATAGCAATTAAAACCACAATTAGTATCCTTCCATTTATTTTTGGTGTCTACTTGGAAACTTTTGAAGATGTTAGCTTAGACGTTATTGGTACACTACCAAGTTATCACGAATATAAAAAAAAAACTGTTTTCGTGGAAGAAATCTTCATAAAGGATATACAATATCCAAACTGATTTTTAATTAGGAAAGAAACTATAGGTGATTTTGGCACTAACATGAAATGTTTCATGAATTGTATTGTTGTTTTTAAATACTAAATAGGAAAAGTTTGGGTGAAGCAGCTACATCACTATCTAATTGTTGACCCCAGGCTTAGGACACCTAAATCTCAACGCTATTAGTATTAACAACAGTAGTTACATAAAGAAAAGTATATCACAAATTAAATGTAATGTGCTATAGACTATAGTGCTAGTTTATTAGATAATTTCTATT